ACAAAACTTTAATTTTACTCATTTCAACTGGGCGTTGAAATGAGTAAAATTAAACTGTGTGTTTAATTTATCACACAGTTAATGTGATAAACACACATTTAATGAACTGTGTGTTTAAATTATCATATGAGATTTTGTTATGGGTTTAGCTCATTCCAAAACACAGGGATGGTGCAAGCTAGATATGATTGAACATTACTTTTTTTTAAAGGCTTGGCCAATGAATTAAAATTATAACTCAGTCTATAACCTAAATGCCTGCAAGATCTGCATGAGGCCTCACAGATAAGAGATACAGTAGAGGATATATACCCACATCTGCTGGGATATGAGCTAAGATGACATCCAATATCAAAATGACGTCCAAATTTTTTATCCCATTGAATGCAGATCCAAAGGGCAGGGTAGCAAGCATGCCTGACCTGGGTGAGTTTCAAATGGGAAGAGGAAGTTTTAAAATCAAGGCTGGGCTTCTTGCAGCTCTGCAGATGCTCTAGCCTACAAAACCCATCATCCTTCACTATTGGTTATGTTAGCCATAGCTTCTTGGAGTCTTGGGCCAAAACACCTGGAGGTCACAAGTTGCTCACCTCCACTTAAATAGATCACTTTGCTGGATGTGTTTTAAAGAGTGGTTTTCACTAGGTGCAGACAAAGGCCTTGTTCTATGCAAGCCAAGCCAAAGCAAGCATGGCCTCTGCCAAAGCAGGGGCTCCTGCAAGCAGATTGGCTTAAAATAATACATGCCAAGTTTGCAGTTCTGTGTGCTGGTCAGAGCAGTCCCCTGTTCTTATCTGTTGATGTATCTCTTGCAACTGATCCAGCAGTCTCTAAGCAGCCAGAAAGGAGGCAAGCAAAAGAAATGGACCAAATTCTGAGCTGCTTCTTACAATCAGCAGCAACTGCTAAGCACATGTCTGGAAGGCAATCTACCCACACTTCTGTCATCAGCTAGGATGCCCCCAAACCAACCACAGCCCAGTTAAATTCCACAGTCCCTCAGCATCCAGCAACTCTGGATCCCTGTTCGTTTTCCTTCCTCCAACACTGCTTAACCCAGGCCAAAGTGTAAGGGTTGTTGGAGGGCTTTAAAAGCCTAAATTGCTGGAATTGAGGAAATTCCTGCCCTCGCCTTGCTGAAGCTTCAAACAAGCCATTTATAACCAGCTGTAAAATGTTTGCAGCTGGGATGCTATATAAGCCATTTGTCTCAACAACGGCATTCCTGATGGCAGAAAGCGTGTCCCACACATGGAAATGCACGTGCACTCACAAGGCCAGTCTTACCATCAAGCGGGGGAGGCAGATGCCTCAGAGGTCCAATGCAGGGGGCAAGTGGGCAACCCCCCACCCTTTCCTGAGTAGCCTATCCCGTGTCTCCAGTGCTAGTTTGCTTCCCCAGAAGCTGCCTCATTACCTGTGCTTGAGTCGGATGGAGCTGCCAGTACAGCTGGATTCTATGGGTCAAATCTGGAAGTACCCATGCCCAGAACAGAGCCTCTGAAATCAATGGGACTTGAGGTGGTCATGAGTAATAGAAGTCCTATTGATCTGAATGGGTATGACTAAATATGCATCCAGTCCTGTATGTAGATTGGGGGAGAGGGTATGTGTCCCTCTATCCCTTTGACAGAAAAGTGTTTTGTGGTAGCCCGTCTGTGTGCATGCACACACACTATCATGTAAACATGTCCCACACAACATGCACATATCCTTTACTCACACACTTACTGCCTCCACTCACGGCTACCAGACATACTTATGATACCTACATCATGGAACATGCAAAGCTATACCTATACTTTTCCAGCAATGAACACAGTAAAAAAAAGAGAGTCAGGTGACTAGAAAGATTACTAGTCTAATTCAATAGCCAGTGGGCCCAATTCATGCTTTGGCTGTGTAATGATCCCATCCCAAACTCCGGCACAAAAAAAGATCAATAGATGAAGCTATGTTGCATTTATCTGTCTTCCATTTGAAAAAAGGGGCATAGTTCCACTTAAGAACAGTGTCCAAGCTCTGCTTAGCCACATACCTCACTGTATAAGCTAAGCTACCTCTTAGGATTGTCATAAAGAAAAATGAGATTTACTCTGAAGCGCTAGAAATACGAGATAACACAATTTCCTGACACTGAAGGACCTTCTTTTTGTCATTGGTGCCTTCCTAGCTGGACTAACTGATACTGTATTATTTTTATCTCATTTAGTAATTCAGATTTTACACAGAAGCTGGGTAAGAAGCCTAGATGACCGGTCACATGGGGCAATAGGATAGTGTGAACATGACAGATGATATGGTCAGGTGAAGCCATTTTGATATATACAGATGTTTATATAACCACATTTTCAGAGATGTTCAGTAATCTAGGCCTAGTTTTCCACATGGGTTTCCATGTTTCACTGTAGGTGCTAAAAGATCAAGTCACCTTACAAGTAATTCCAACGAAGTTATTAGCCTACAAAGTTATTTTTATTTTTACTCATTTGCCTGAAAACACATGCCTATGTTAGTTATTTGCATCACAGAAAGGGGGAAAAATAAAAGAACCAAGCCTCTTCCAGTAAACCTGGTTGCTTGGAGGCAGTTCTTATTTGCAAACCTGCAAAAAGTCATCAGTACAGATGTGAAGGCACTGAAAAACTCCAGGAAAAAAACATGGGAGAACTAGAAAAGGGTAGGGGGAAAGCCCACTGCTTGTTGTTTTTTTCCAGGAATTTGGGGGAACTTTTGAAAGAAAGAAGATTCTCCCCAGTATTTTGCCTTTTTCCATTCCCCCACCCCAGCCTTCACATATATACCATTCAGCACAGCACAAATGCAGAGACCCCTTCCCCAACTGCTGCCACTTTCTCATTGTTTTGCGATTCCTACTTCCTCGCTGAGCTGTGGGCCTGGGATGGGGTACTAATGGGAGAGCTGATGCCCAGGGAGCTGAGACATAGCACAAAGATGTGTTCATGAAAGGTAAGCAAAATAAAAGGCTTGGTGCAGAGGGGATACCCCATTTTTCTCTCAGTCTCATGGCCACTTTTGCAAAAAGAATGTGTACATTGCTTGTTGAGAACAGTGGTTGGTTGTAACACCTGAATGTATCATTGTGCATCAGTACTATAAATCCAGGTAAGAAAAGACAGCATGATGCCAAGCAAATAATTCCAGCTGACTTACAATAATCGGCAAAGCCTTTCCTAAACCGGCCCACCCTCACTTTGCCTGTACTTCCAGCACTACTCACCATCCTCACCATCCCCTTTGCTGGTGCCTGATCTTTCCTCCCATCATTTGTGCTATCCTAAGGTAGACTTAATAGCTCTCCGGGGAGAGAGCCCTGATCGGGTGGACCTACTGAAAGGGACTGACATACCCTTGGTGACAAATACTTGAAGAGTAGCCCTTACTGGTACAAGCCACCTGCAGGCATGGAGGAAAATGAAGCACTCTGTGGAGTCCTGACTCCAACTCAGAAAGAGAAACATCTTCCTTCTGTAATCAAATTCCTCCTTCCCCTGAAATGCCAACCGTTGAAATCACTTCTATTATTTCCGAAGAGCTCCATGTGAAGGGACTTCTCGTGGTGCTTTTACACCTTATGCAAGCCCTCTGGTGTGTGTGTCTGTGTGTGTGTGAGGAGGGAGTGTATTGGGGATGAATCCTTCCACGGTTCAGATGCAGATTTAAACAGGAAGCGTTCTGATTTCCAGGCGCCGGAGAAAGAGTTAAAGTGCCACATTTCTAGCGAGAGCTTTGGCAGCCAGGCAGGGGTGGGGCCGCTCCAAATGAAATCGCTTTGAAAGGGAGCGAGTGAGAGCGTGCTCCCATCGGATCTGAGGAGGAGGTGGTGGTGGTGGTGGTGGTGCGGCGGGGTTGGGGGGGGGGGAGAGGAACGGTCTTAAAATGCACCTCCAGCTGTCCCCAAAGATTATAGTGAGATGCCTGTGCTGAGCGTCGTGTGCCTCCCCACACACACACACGTGTTTGTGTGTATATATGTGTGTGTGTGTGTAAATCAAAGGCTTATTCTTTTGCAAGTTGTAAACACTCGGCCAGGGTGCCAAAAAGCCGGGAAGGAAAAGAGGGAGGGATGCTATTTGGCAGCTGCTCAAAGAGAAAAAGGGAACGCAAGCCCCGCTGTGAACACCCTTGGGTGTTTGACAGATCTCTCCCACACCCCTACAACTTGCAGATTCTTCCAGTGTGTATGAAAATAGTCTTCTTACTACCTAACTCCAAGTTTACCTGTTCCTCAATCGAATTGCACTTCGAGGTGGTCTAGGGGTCAAACTTCAAGCTTCCCCCCACCTTTTTTCAAACCAAAGAAGGGGAACAAATGTTAAAATTTGACCACAAAACCTTCCTATCCCCCCATACCTCACAAGTAGTCCCTCGCTCCCCGCCACTTCGGCTCACCGAAATCAAACAAAATCAGATAAGAAAGAAGCCCTTCAAAGTTTCCCCCTCTTATGGTGTTCCTAGCACACTTCCACAACAAGACAAAGGGGCACTAAGTGGAGTTATCCCGGATCCCGTGTAACCGAGGCAACACAAATCAAGAGAGGGCTAAAGAATCATCCAGGTATAAAAATTACTGAGTGCTTTCTTGAGGGGGAGGAGGAGAAAAGAAAGGCTAATTAGCATGGTCCCATCTCACTGTCCCGTTCCCCTACCTCCCCGCGCGCCTGCCTCTTCTGCCACACCAGAGTTCCAAGCAGGAAACAAAAAAGTTGGGAAATGGGAACGCGAATCATCCAATCAGCTCGGCGAACATACCAAACAGCGCCCTCTAGGAGGATGCCCACGCCGATCCACTCGTGCTCAACGCCCACGCAGGGTTAAAAAAATTCCCAACCCCACCCACGTCAACAACCGTGAGAAGCAGAAATCAAGTCACTCCTTCAAATGCATCCTCCACCCACCCTTAAGTCCCCCTCTCCCTCGGAGAGCCACCCACCCAAAAGATCAAGCAGCCCGAGTTTGGATCGGCGCCGGTCACCTACATTGCAGGCTGGCCGGCTGAGGCCACCCGAAAGGGTCCAAGCCCACGAAACATGGGCTGATGCTCGACTTCCGCAGCATGCAAGCACTCCGGTTGGTAACATCGTAGAGTTGCCGCGGCCCGACGGCGAACGCCTCCATGCAATCGTACATCTCCCCCCCTCCGGAATGATTCCGTTTGGAGTGGAAATGCACGAAAGAGAAGAAACCTAATAATGGTAGTAGCGGTGGTGGTGCTGGTGGTGGTAGTGGTGCGTTTATAGGATGATGATCCAGGAAGAGATGAAAATGTTCACCGCCGCCCTGAGCAAGGGCGGGGGAGGGGGGAGAGCTTGGCAGCGGCCGAGCGCGCGCGCACCACCTCCTGAACTCCACGCGCGTGCGGCGCGCGCCACGAGTGAAGTTGGACGCTTTGAAGGCCAGACGCTGCGATCGCTTTCGCCTGCCTGCTTAAGAAGCTACTACCTTGGGGCGAAAGCAGCTAAGGGCTCCCAAGATTTATGGGCGTGGCCTGGTGCTGAGAAGGGCTGGGCTATGTGTGGGAGGGAAGGACACACAATCACACACCCACAGCGGGCGAGCCGAGCGAGGGAGCGCGGCAGCCCTCGACTCCGCACACGGGGGCACAGCAACGCACTTCGAAGAGGGCCAAGGAAACGCACGCACAAACACTGATTCGGAAAGCACGCAACGAGGAAATAGCGCAGGCATTCGTGCATGCAGGGTTATTCTTGTGCCCCCCCCCCCGCACACTTGTATTGCTGCTTCTTTCCGAAGCCCCACCCGCGAATACGCTCAAAACACCGCAGCCAAAATATTACGAAGTAGCCTGCTTACGCATAACTACTCGGAAGTTCGCTGAACAAACTGGGGACTTGGGGCCAAAACAGACGTAACTTTAAATCTATGTCTAGCAGCTTCGTCTTTTACTCATTGGTGCTCCGTAGGTGCCGGGACCGTCTGGCTCTTAGCAGCTCCTCCAGGCTTCTCCCCACAAAACACCAATCCTAATGGGGGGGGGGGCGGGGGAGGGTTCCACTGCCTGCCCCAGAGTAAATATATCTATATAAATTGTATGACATAATTGTTCCACACAGATTTAAAGCAATGTCCCTTTTGTCCCTTAGTTCTAAGGTAACCGACACAGGCTCAAGTAAGGAGGGACTGTGGGCTCAGCAGTGGAGTGCCTGCTTTGCATACAAAAGGTCCCAAGTTTAATCCCTGGTTACTCCAGGTAGGGCTGGAAAAACTGCTACCGGAGACTCTAGAAAGCCACTGCTAATCAGTGTCCACAATACTAGATGGACGGAGGACCTGAGTCAGAATAAACACAGCTTCCTATGTGTGCTTCATAAAGTGCCCACATATGCAAAACCACACACTTAGGAGCCAAGCTGTATATATTAACTGAGAACAGTGACCGTATGTTCACATTCACAATCTGTGAACTGCTGATTAGACAGAATCCTTGCTTCTGCTATAAGCCTGCAAGTCAAAGCAGGGGAACCAAGAGCAGGAGAAAGGGAGGTCTATCGTTTCATCCCTCTTCAGTCACCTTGATCACAAGACTATGGTAAGGTCCTTAGAAGGCATTCAGAAATTACTAGGAGGTGAGTAGGAACCTGTGTGACATTTTATACCCCCAAGGTCACTTGATATGAATTATACAGCAATCCTAAATGGGGTTGAGAGTGTGGAGTAAAAGTCGGTCACTGCTTCCAAAACTGCCGCCATCACCCCACGTACACTACTGGTGCCATGAGTGGAGAACATCACAAGCATCGGGCTTGACTCCAGGTTTCTGAGGGTGCTTAGCAAGCCCCCCTCCATGAGCCCCTCCCTCAGTCAGTCTACAGCTCTCCCCTATTGTCAGCAGCTGCTACGGCTCCTCCTCC